ATTATTATGTTTTTTTATATAGAAAATAAGGATAATGAGTCGTAAAAAATCAATATAATTTGAGTTATAACGATAGGTCTTTTTTTTAATTGTTTTGTTTTTTTAGTTACATATTTGGGATTCATTAATGGGACATAAATGCCACTTGGATTACATTGTGTGCGTATTCCTTTTCACACCACAAAGAGACTGAGAGAATCCGAGTGAGCCAAAAGATATTTTCACTTGAAGCCAAGACGATAAGTTATCGTCAACGATGGTAGCCCCCTTCTCTCTCAAGCATCACCTTCAAACTTTCTCTCTCTAACTCTCCCTCTCCCTCTCCTATCCATATTTTGGGTATTACCTTTAGTAATGAGAAATATGACGTATTCTCGTTAACTCGATAAAATAATACATCAGAGGTCTATATATATATATACAAAGACTAAGCTCACTAAATACAATGTGAGCATAAATATAATGTGAGCATAACTGAATACATAACAGATTAACCAATAGTAATAACAAGTTTAACCTCTAATACTCCCCCTCAAGATGGGTAAAAAAGATCTAAAAGACCCATATTGGACTTGAGAAATCGAAAAACAGAGAACACCAACGGCTTAGTAAAAGCATCTGCAAGCTGATGAGTGGAACGAACTAGTAAGAGGCGAAGAAAACCATCTTGCACACGATCTTGAACAAAATGACAATCTAACTCTATATGTTTAGTGTGTTCATGAAGCACCGGGTTAGTAGCCAAGTGAATTGCTGTTTGATTATCGCAAAATACTAAATATAGGCATGGGAACAGTAACTTGCAAGTCTTGAAGCAAATGAAAAAGCCATAGAAGTTCACAAGAAATAGCATCCAAAGACTTGTATTCAACCTCAACAGAAGATCGTGATATAGTAGTTTGCTTTTTAGACTTCCAAGAAATCAACGATGTTCCCATAAACACACAAAACCCTGTAGTAGACCAACGAGTATCAAAGCAAGAACCCTAATCAACATCTCCATAAGCACGTAACTGAAAAGAAGAACTGGCAGAAAGGAAGACACCTTGCCCGGTGACCCCTTCAGATAACGCAACAAATATAAAGCTGCTTGATAATGAGTAGTAGAGGGCTTAGAAACAAACTGGCTAAGCCGATGTACAACATATGTGATGCCAGGCCTCGAGATAGTAAGATACAATAGTATACCAATGAGTCTGCGACAAGAGGTGGAATCATTAGAGGACTCCCATCAGCAAGACGAAGCTTTATGAAGGGATCCATAGGAACAGTTGTTGGTTTACACTCAAGCAGACCAAACTCTTCAAGAAGAGTGAGGGTATAATGCCTCTTAGACAAACAAATACCCTTGGCAATTCGAGAAATTTCAAGACCAAGGAAGTATTTCAATGAGCCAAGATCTTTAAGCTGAAACTGATCGTGAAGTATAGTCTGCATATCACGAATAAGAGAGATACTAGCCCCAATAATAACTATATCATCTACATACACAAGCAAAGCCACAAAAGTATCATCATTGCCACGAATGAAAAGAAAGTAATCGGACTTGGATTGCCGAAAACCAAGGCCTAACAAAACGGAGGAAAACTTGGCAAACCACTGACTGGAGGCTTGTTTCAAACCATATATAGATTTATTCAACCAACAAACCAAGCGCTCCCCCTGAGGACAAGAAATAAAGGGAGGTTGATGGCCAAGTAGTAAGTCCATGTATACTTCCTCAGCCAGATCACCATGGAGGAAGGCATTGTTGACATCCAACTGAATGAGACGCCAAGATTTGGATACTGCAATAGTGAGAAGAACTTTGACAGTGACCATTTTAGCCACTGGAGAAAAAGTCTTTATGAAGTCGAGTCCTTCTTGTTGAGTGTATCCTTTGCCCACTAGATGAGCTTTGTAACGTTCGATTGAACCATCAGATTTAAGTTTGACTTTATAAATCCAACGACAACCAATAGAGTGGCGATGATTAGGAAGGGAAACCACAGTCCAAGTGTGATTATCAGTCATAGCTTGCAATTCAACACTCATGCCTTCACGCCAATGAGAATGAAACAGCTTGGTGATAAAAACTTAGGCTTATATGGTAAAGGAGACATTTAGAACATAATGTTGATGAGCAAAAGAAAGTCGTGAATATGACAAATACTGCTGTAAGGGATGCCTTGTAAAAGCAGGAGATGGCAAAGAGTTAGTCAAAATACTACAATGAAAATCCCGTAAATATGAAGGCATTTTGGAAGGCCTAGTAAAACGCCGAGGGATAATATCCAAAGGTCCAACTAAAGATCCTGTGTTAGGCATAGGTGTAGACACACTAGGTTTTGTGTTAGGCATAGGTTTAGACACATCTGGCATGGATGAAGACCCATCAACACTAGGCGTAGTAGCAGGAGCACATGGCTCAATGGGAATAGTAGTACAACAACTAGTATATCAGTATTAGCATTAGTCATATCAATATGATCAGTAAGTATAACAGTTCGAAAATAAACAGCATTTGACAAAAGGGTCAACTGATACATCAGTACCCAAGGATTCCGAAAATGGGAACTTAGTTTCATGAAAAATCACATCACGAGAGACAAATAAGCGTTGAGTTTGAATATCAAATAGTCGATAACCTTTCATCCCTAGTGGATAGCCAAGAAAAACTGCCTGACGAGCTCTAGGTTCAAACCTTGTGCGATGAGAAGCTAAGGTAGAGGCGTTGCACAAAGATCCAAAGGTTCTCAACATGGAGTAATCAGGATCAGTTTTATATAGGACTTGAAAAGGAGACTATCATTCCAAAACAGGTAAAGGAGCCCTATTAATAAGATATGCAGCTGTAAGAACACACCATTCCAAAATTTGAAAGGAACTCTTAATTGAAAGTACAAGGCCCGAGTAACATTCAAGAGGTGTTGGTGTTTACGCTCAACAACAGAATTTTGTTGAGGTTTCTCAACACATGAAAACTGATGAATAACACCTTTGGAAAGAGAAAACTCCTTGAAAAGAAATTCTGGTGCATTATCATATCTAAAGGCCTTGATACTAACACTAAATTGAGTCTCAACAAATGTGAAAAAACGAGTTTTGATATTCAAAACATCGAACTTGTGACGAAGCATAAACAACCATGTATATCTAGAGCAATCATCCACAATGGTGAGAAAGAAACTATATCCAGCATGGGAAACATGAGAAAATTGTCCCCAGACATCAACGTGTATTAAATCAAAAGGCTTGTTTGGCAAATGATTATTTGAATGAAAAGTCAGCCTCTTTTGTTTGGCTAATGGCATTCATCACATGAATCAGTAACAAAATTCTTCAATGAACAATTATCAAGAGGTAACACACTCTTTAAAGCTTGTAATATAGTAAAGGATGGATGACCAAGGCGATTATGCCAAACATCAAATGAAACAAGAGTATAAGCAGCAACACAAACAGACTGTGTAGTAGAGAAACATTCTGAAGTACTGTCAAGTAGATAAAGGCCACAACACAATCTACCCCTATCAATTGTCTTCGAAATGGACTTGTCCTGGATAATGCAATTGCCGTTAGAGAATTCTACTAATAGAGATGGCATGTCCCTCAATAATACATTGACCGAGATGAGGTTGAAAAAAAACTCAGGAATGTATAAAACATCATGTATAGATAGATGATCAGATAACCGTACGAACCAGAGTATTCAACCACAAATCGAGATTTATTTGGAAAATTCACATGGACAAAAGAAATCTTGTGTATTTTATCAAACAATTTGCGAGAACAGCATATATATGTAGATGCACCAGAATCGAGGATCCAAGATTGAGGATCAATACCTGCTGTGTAAGAAGCAGTAGTGTTTGTGTCAGCAACAAATTTGCCAGTCTAAACCTGAGATTGAAGTAATTGAAGAAGTTGTTTGCAGTGGCTAACAACATCAGAATTCGCATTTGAAGTGGCTAGGGTAGAGGATTTAGAAGACTTCGAAGCACCAGAATTCTGACATCTAAATGAATATCGCTGACCACTTCGATAGCCAAGCGAATATCCATGTAACTTGTAGCATCGATCAATAATGTGACCAATGAGTCCACAGTGAGAACAAACTGGATGGTCTTTGCATACCTTTTGATTCGTCACAGAATTAGTGGCTTTCAAAGGTGGTTTAAACGTAGAGTGTTAAGCAGCCAGTGCAAAGGAAGGAGCAGTAGGAATCGTACTGAGGTGCCAATCGATCTTTGCTGCTCCTCCTGTCGAACTAATGAAAAGGCTTTATTGACGGAAGGCAGCAAATCCATTAGTAATAACTATGCTCGAGTTGAAGCGTAGGAATCGTTGAGTCCCATGAGGAAATTGATCATGTATTCCAGTTGTATAAACTCACAAGCGGACTTAGCACCACCACATGTGCAAGTACAAGTACAAACGAGACGAAATTGATGCAATTCATCCCAAACAGTTTTCAATTTGGTGAAGTATAAACTCACCGATTGCTGCTCCTAAGTTATAGTGCAAATGGGACGTTTGAGTTGAAATATGCGTGGACCATTGCTCTTCTGGAATCTCTCCTTAAGATCGAGCCAAATATCTCTGGCAGATTCCGAAAACAAGATGCTTGCAAAAATATCCTTCAAAACGGAATTCAAGATATATGCAATAACCACATGGTTATTGCGAATCCATGTCGGTAGGAGATCACCGATGGGACGCTCAATAGATCAGTCAATAAAACCTAATTTGTTTTTGACTGATAACGCGATTATCATAGATCAGCTCCATGATATATAATTTTCCTCCGTCAGAACTTGATTCACAAGAACCAATCCAGTATTATCTGTATGATGGAGATAGTA